GACATACACACAGAAGTTATTGGATTTAGAGTTACTGCTAACCCCAGAACAGAATCTGTTCTTTTACCTTTGAGTCTTTTCTTTTGCTTACCTCTTTTCATCTCAAAGTGGGAAAGCTCCAGATAACATGGTACATAGGAGTGAGTGAGCAAAACCAACCCAGTGCGAAGTATTTGGGTGAGACCTGAGAGGTGGGAGATGATTGGAGGCCATGGCCTGTGTACAAACATACTGGAAGAAAACAAGCTTGTTTTTAAAACTTAACATAATCAGAAACTTTTCTTTTTTGTTTCAATCTAACACGTTGACGTTTTTAAAATTTGATCAGTGAGCTTTTTAACCAAGATTTCTCCTGCATTTTGTTCCTTCTTTTTACCTTATTTTAAATATAATCTGTTAGAAGAAAAAAGAAGCAGACGAAAGAGAAAAACCCTCCTCTGGTAATTCTGTGTGTGTGCCCCTCACCTGTGTGCTAGTGTCTGGGAAGTTTCCCTGAAAGGTGGGAGGCGGGTGGGTGGTCTTTTGGAGAGTTCCTCATGAAGTGTGCTTGAGGAAAGAAATTCTGATTCTAGGCAGAGGAAGGGGAACAATTTAAATATTGGTGCATCTCAGATGCACTTCTTCAAGCCTTCCTCAACCAAACTGATCCATTAGATTCAGAAAAACAGGTAGACAAGGAAGTAGACAGTGGAAGGGAGTAGTCTCCCTCCATCTGCCTAATCCCCAATAACTGTGGTCTGGCCCCTGTGTCCAGCCCCAGAGTTTGTAGAACAGGTCCCCAAGTAGGTGTATAAGATGAGTTGCAAATTAGCCGGGCATGGTGGTGCGGGCATGGTGGTGCACGCCTGTAGTCCCAGCTACTCGGGAGTCTGAGGCAGGAGAATCGCTGGAACCCAGGATGTGGAGATTGTGGTGAGCCGAGATCGCGCCACTATATTTGTACAGCTATGCAATGTGTGTTGTAAGCTAAGTGTTTATTGCAAGAGTCAAAAAGCTTAAAAAATTAAAAAGTTTATAAAGTAAAATTACAGTAAGTAGAGGTTGATTTATTATTGAAGAAAAACTTTTAAAAATAAATATAGTGTAGCCTAAATATACAGTGTTTATAAAGCCTACAGTAGTGTACAGTAATGTCCTAGGCCTTCACATTCACTCACCACTCACTCACTGACTCACCCAGAGCAACTTCCACTTCTGCAAGCTCCATTCATTATAAATGCCCTCTACAGGTATACCATTTTTTATTTTTTATACCGTATTCTTACTGTACCTTTTATTGGTTTAAGTATGTTTAGATACACAAATACCATTGTGTTACAGTTGCCTATGGTATTCAGTACAGTAATACACTGTACAGGTTTGTAGCCTAGTAGCAAAAGACCATACTATTAATATGTAGCCTAGGTGTGTAGCAAGTATACCATCTAGGTTTGTGTAAGCACAGTTTGGTGTTTGTACAAGGACAAAATCACCTGACAACTCATTTTTCAGAGCATAATCCTGTCCAGTGACACTACTTTGAGGTACCTACCTTTGAGCTTGGGTATGCAGCACTGCTGTGTGCAGGATCAGAAACAAGGTGACTCTTGCCCTGCTTTGTTGGCAGCTGGATAAGCAGAACCGTGCCAAGATCACTGACTTAGGATTCTGCAAGCCAGAGGCCATGATGTCAGGCAGCATTGTGGGGACACCAATCCATATGGCCCCTGAACTTTTCACAGGTAAGGCTGGAGGGCAGGCAGTGGGTCTGGGCAGGGTGTATTACTTTAATCCTGAGTGCTACCCCTTGAGCTCGTTTCCACAATCACTACTGGCAGGTCTGGCACAGGCAAGGGAGAAACGAGATCAGGGGAGACCTACCTAAGGCAAGTAGCAGGGAAAGTGAAGCGGTAGAGGAGTAAGAAAGAAAAAGTACAAATGGGAATCACCATTTGGACATCTCTCTGGGTTATTCTTGCCATAATTGCCATAATCAGCCAATTATTTAATCATAAAGTATTGATTGAATAACTCCTGTGTGATAGGAGTTGTCCTCTATCATTAAAGAACTTACAGTTGACATACAGATATATTGAGAGGTAAAATAGGAAGCAGTATAACACAACATATGATTAAGTGCTAAATTAAGTGCTGTATGATGTACTGTTGGTGTTTAGAGAAGGAATAAATGAAGTTGGAAATGTTTATTGGTTTTGTGATGAAGGTGAGATTTTGAGTAGAACTTGAGTCAGATCTGGGAAATTGGTAGGTGGGAAGGGAACTCATTTATTAAGTATATACCTTGAGTTAAGCAGTATGAGTAGGTTTTTCATATATTTTGTTTAGTTCTGTGATGATGATGGATTTTTATGTCCATTCAATGGATAAAGTTGAGACCAGACTGATGAAGAAACCTAATCCCAAAAACATTGAGCTAAAAGATAATGGACCTGTGATTTAAGTCTAGGACTTTCTATCTCCATAGTACAACCCTGTAGCATAAAGGAGAGAAAATTCTGGAGGCTAAAGAAGGGGAAATGAAGAAAATCACAGAACAGAAATAAGCGTGACAGGAAAGAAATCCATTTGGGGAACAGTAGCAAACAAGGTTGGAGATAAAATACATTGAGCTTGAAATTCCCACAGAAGAATCAAGGCTTGTTTGTGCAAGACTTAAGGAGCTACTGAGCTTTTGAGTAGGAGACAAAGGAAAATGTTGATGAAGATGAGCTTTAGCAACAGTAGGCAAAGATGATTTGGGAGGAACCAAGGTAAGACCAGATAGCTGGTCTTCTATGGTTGCCTCCATGATTAAGCTGGTGTTAGTGCGGAAACAAACAAATGTGAGAAATTTAGATTAATTCAGAGGAAGAGTGAACAAGATTTTGGTGCTAACTTGATATGGCTAGTGAACAGAAAAGAATGACTAAAAGATGACTGCAAGGTTTTGAGCCCAAGTGATGGGAATGATTGTTCCATTGCCAGCAAAGATGGAAAGGTAGTCATTAGTATTGGTAAGAGTTAAAATTAGCAATATATTTAAATTTCTTTCATTTCATGTATGAGTCTTCCCCCAGCCCTTCACTGGGTGATACATGTAAGGATTAGGTGTTAGTGAGACAGCTGTAGTAGTATTCAACATCTGAACTAAGTAGACAGTCTTCATTTTTCTTTCTGTAGATTTACTTAACAACAACAACAAAAAAACTTTCGGCCAGGCACGGTGGTTCACGCCTGTAATCCCAGCACTTTGGGAGGCCAAGGCAGGTGGATCACTGAGGTCAGGAGTTCAAGACCAGCCTGACCAACATGGAGAAACCCCGTCTCTACTAAAAATACAAAATTAGCCGGGTGTGGTAGTGCCTGCCTGTAATCCCAACTACTTAGGAGGCTGAGGCAGGAGAATCGCTTGAACCCAGGAGGCGGAGGTTGTGGTGAGCTGAGATCGCACTACTGCACTCTAGCCTGGGCAACAAGAGCAAAACTCTGTCTCAAAAAAAAAAAAAGAAGAAACTTTCTAATCCCACTGCTGTTACTCTATTTTGGTTACTTCATACTTAAATTTCTTTTATTGTTTCTATTGCAGTCCACCCTATTGCTGTCAGAATCATCTTTCTAAAATATTATATTCTTCATGTCACCTCCTACTCTAAAACATAAATGACTTCCTGCTGCCCACTAAATCCAGACTCTTCTACCTGACTTTAAAAATTATTATATTCTGGTTTCAACATCCCTACCCACCTGTATTTCCAACTTTATTTCCTTAATTTTTTGTGATTAATCTTTTTGACTGTCCTAGCAGAATGACAGGCCTTATTTAAGCCTTCTCCTTTGTCAAGTTCTAGGCTTGGCTGTCTTCGTATTGAGCTGTGACCTCCCAATGTCTTACTTGATTGTATTGTAAAATGGGCATTATAAATGTGCCCTGCCCACCTGGCAGGGTTGTTATTGGGAGATAATAGATGTTAAAAGCTTTGGAAAAAGCCAACCCTCTACTGAGGCAAGATGGTGTGGATGCTGCTGCCTGACTCTTCGCGGCTCATTACGTTTCATCCTTTCTTGCCATCAGGGAAGTACGATAATTCCGTGGATGTCTACGCTTTTGGAATTCTTTTCTGGTATATCTGCTCAGGCTCTGTCAAGCTCCCTGAGGCATTTGAGAGGTGTGCTAGCAAAGACCATCTCTGGAACAATGTGCGGAGGGGTAAGAGCCACAAGTACTACCTTGTCCTAACTCCCTTGGCTAGCGCAGACTGAGCCCAGGCAATGTCACCCAGCCTCCTGTCATCCTATCTGGCCACTCCGTAGCAGGGCCATAGATACATTTAAACTGTCATGAATCCAGAAAACATATTTAAGTCAACCTTTGCTTCCAGTCAACTCTCTGTTGAACTATCTCAAAAAGCCTTTTTAAAAAAAATGTCCAATTCTTCAACTTCATATGCCAGTGTGTTCCAGTTTTTCTTTTCTTTTTCTTTCTTTCTTTCTTTTTTTTAAAAAATTATTCTTACTGTTAGGTTCTAACCTAGATGTTTGCAATTGAAGTCAAAACTCCTTGCATTCTTTAGTATTCTGAGCCCCACTGGGAATTCAGCCTTTGAGCTGGTCATGTCTCTTTGTATGTGCTGGGCCCCTCTCACTGTGGTCTTGTTTCCATGCTCCTTTCTCTAGGGGCTCGCCCAGAACGTCTTCCTGTGTTTGATGAGGAGTGCTGGCAGTTGATGGAAGCCTGTTGGGATGGTGACCCCTTGAAGAGGCCTCTCTTGGGCATTGTTCAGCCCATGCTCCAGGGCATCATGGATCGGCTCTGCAAGTCTAATTCTGAGCAGCCAAACAGAGGACTAGATGATTCTACTTGAAAGCAAAGACTTTTCTTTTTCACTCTCTAGTTCTTTCCTTCCCCCTCACCTTTTGGCCATGGGGAGAATTTGACATTTATTCACTATAGGACACACTCCCAAGGGAACTGGTGCTTGCTGGGAAACTTGAAACCTTCCCAGGCAGGGATGACTCCTGGACAGTGAAGAGTTGAATGACTGAGCATATTCAGCAGCTCACTGAAGCGCCAAGCTATTCCTTTAGCAAAAAAGTGTCTAAGATGTGTAAAAGCTGAGGAATGTGATGTTCTGGCCTCACAAATGAAAAAGAGGCAGATGCTACCATTGTCTATTCACTGTATATGCTTCCAAGACAACCAGCAGGACACTGCAGTGGCAATAGTGTTAAAAAGTCTCATTCTCATGATTTTTGGCTCTAGCTAGGAATAGTTTAGTCAGGACTCAGAAAATTTGAACTTAGTTCTGGGATTATGAAAACATGGGGACAAAAACAGTAACTTGTGGATATCTGGTTCCTGCTGTCTGCAGCCAGGGATCTCAGGCTGCAATGGTCAGAAGTCCCAGTGAGGGAGCTAGAAACAGAGCTATCTGTTCCTCATAGTGCCAGTGTGTTTACATTTATAGGACCACATATCCCTGGTTTCTGGGGGAGGGTTTCACTGTTACATCACCAAAAGGCCCTGAAAAGATTAAAAAAAAAAAAAAAAAGAGGCCGGGCTTGGTGGCTCATGCCTGTAATCCCAGCACTTTGGGAGGCTGAGGCGGGTGGATCATAAGGTCCAGAGTTCAAGAGCAGCCTGGCCAACATGGTGAAACCCTGTCTCTACTAAATATACAAAAAATTAGCTGGGCATAGTGATGCATGCCTGTAATCCTAGCTACTGGGGAGTCTGAGGCAGGAGAATTGCTTGAACCTGGGAGGCAGAGGTTGCAGTGAGCTGAGATCGTGCCACTGCACTTCAGCCTGGGCGACAGGGTGAGACTCTGTCTCAAAAAAAAAAAAAAAAGAATGTGTGTGTATATGTATACACATGTGTGTGTCTATATCTCTATATATAGACATACACACAGAAGTTATTGGATTTAGAGTTACTGCTAACCCCAGAACAGAATCTGTTCTTTTACCTTTGAGTCTTTTCTTTTGCTTACCTCTTTTCATCTCAAAGTGGGAAAGCTCCAGATAACATGGTACATAGGAGTGAGTGAGCAAAACCAACCCAGTGCGAAGTATTTGGGTGAGACCTGAGAGGTGGGAGATGATTGGAGGCCATGGCCTGTGTACAAACATACTGGAAGAAAACAAGCTTGTTTTTAAAACTTAACATAATCAGAAACTTTTCTTTTTTGTTTCAATCTAACACGTTGACGTTTTTAAAATTTGATCAGTGAGCTTTTTAACCAAGATTTCTCCTGCATTTTGTTCCTTCTTTTTACCTTATTTTAAATATAATCTGTTAGAAGAAAAAAGAAGCAGACGAAAGAGAAAAACCCTCCTCTGGTAATTCTGTGTGTGTGCCCCTCACCTGTGTGCTAGTGTCTGGGAAGTTTCCCTGAAAGGTGGGAGGCGGGTGGGTGGTCTTTTGGAGAGTTCCTCATGAAGTGTGCTTGAGGAAAGAAATTCTGATTCTAGGCAGAGGAAGGGGAACAATTTAAATATTGGTGCATCTCAGATGCACTTCTTCAAGCCTTCCTCAACCAAACTGATCCATTAGATTCAGAAAAACAGGTAGACAAGGAAGTAGACAGTGGAAGGGAGTAGTCTCCCTCCATCTGCCTAATCCCCAATAACTGTGGTCTGGCCCCTGTGTCCAGCCCCAGAGTTTGTAGAACAGGTCCCCAAGTAGGTGTATAAGATGAGTTGCAAATTAGCCGGGCATGGTGGTGCGGGCATGGTGGTGCACGCCTGTAGTCCCAGCTACTCGGGAGTCTGAGGCAGGAGAATCGCTGGAACCCAGGATGTGGAGATTGTGGTGAGCCGAGATCGCGCCACTGCACTCCAGCCTGGGCAAGAGTGAGACTCCATCTCAAAAAAGAAAAAAGATGAGTCGCACATTTGCTGCTGGGATTTTCTAGGGTTGTTTATGACAAAATGACCATCTTTTAAATATTAATGGAGTATAAATGGAGTCTATAATGGGTCTTTCATATAACTTTTAACTCTTTGGCTATCCTGGGCTCTGATCATGATATGTTTGAGCATAGTAGCTCCCTAAACTCTTGCAGCCTTTCAGAAACTCCACGTAGTGCTAATAACCTTTTTACCTGCAAATGATAAAGTAACTGACTCAGTGTCTTTGGGCTCTGTAGGCTTTAGCCTTGTTTTGGTAGGATGTTCAGTATATTAGAATTTTTACCACCTATTTAGCTATACTTCAAGTACTCTATTCTCTGCACTAACTCACTTGTCCTTCTGGGAACTATGATGGGGCTTCAAGGGAGTCAGGTGTCAAGAGAGGAGGGGTAAGTACTCTCTACTTGCTGGAAAATCATTGTCTAAGTCAGTTGTGTATGAAATTTTAGGAAAAGTCTTATATAGTTCCCTTTCCAGACTGTCTTCTTTTGACTCTAGCTATAATCATAAGTCTGTGCTTCCATTATGAAGGTCACATTCCTAGCATTCTTTGGAAGTCTTAGCTCATACTCCCATTCACATATGGGAGGTTAGATTTTTTTCGTCTACCCAGAGTCCCTTTTTAGTTTACCCCACGGCTTAGTCTGCAGTCAGATGCCAGTTCTCTAGCAGATTCCCCAACAATTTTTTCCCCAATGGGGAGGGTGGAAGGGAGGGACTAATGTAAGTAAGGAGATGAGTAGTTGTGTTACAGTTCATTTTCTTAAAAAAAGTATTTTGAGAAAAGGTGCAAAATATTCTTGAAAGTCTCTAGGCCAGCCAAAATCCATATATGGATATTTGGGGATGTTATTTAAATACTCAGCAGGCTGAGTGCAGGTATACGTGTGTATAGTGTGTGTATACTTTGCTTTTGTTTTATAACATTGTCAGCTAATTTTGGCTTCTTTGTTCCTTGGCATCCATTCTTATGATAAGTGATGGAATGCCATGAAACGTACTGTATTGTATATTACTTGGGAGGACACTAGGTTTTCAAAGAAGTCTGGCAGCATTTGGCTTATAGAGGGCCCAGCATGACCAAAGTCCTAAAGATTTTACCTCCCAGCTTTGGTTGTACGTGTTCCCAAGTGGTGAGGTGAGATTGTGACTGGAGGAGGAAAAAGGATGACGTGAAAGGATGACCCTTATTGTGTTCTGTCCTCCTAATCAGCATAATTAGGGCAGCTTACCCCTGCATGAAAATGATGACCTGGCCATTTTTAATGGCCAGAGCTTGAAGTCTGGTCTCTCATTTTGTTTCAGAAATGAGGCCTTCCTGCAGAGCAGTCAGGAGAAATGGTGGAGCCTGGGACCCTGGAATGGCTGACCCTGGGCCTAGAGAGCTGATGGCAAGGGCTGTCTGGCACGGCTCATTTGGGTGGGGTTTCCCCAGGCATACCTTAGTTCCCTGATCCTCTGCAAAGAGTAGCTCATTGACTGAGCAAGCGCTTCACAGGAGGACTGTGCTGGTTGTTCCCAGACCAAAGAGAGTCACTTTTGACTCCATCAACTTCAAGGGGACAGAGTCTAGGCAGCAGCTTCTCCTAATTTTTAACACTAAAATTCAAGGAAGCAGTGGAGGAAAGAATGCATTACTACCACAGATAGAAATAGGGGACTCGTAGAACTCTTGACTAGTACCTGTCAGCTCTCAAGTGCATTTTTGTGTCTTTGCTTGAGCTGCCAAAGAAGGGTCACAAAGTGTTCTTCCTAATGGAAGAAGTGCCTCGGGGTTGCAGGGCTTCAAAGTGACAACTGCACTGAATGACACTTTATTTTTTGGCTTTGGCTTATTATTTAGCACTGGGAGGCTGGGGGGAATTGGTGATTACAGTAGCACTTTGGGAAGTTAAAGCCCCCTTTGGGCTTGCTTTGGAGAGATGATGGCATGCTTGGTATTCCATTTGGATAATCAGGAAACCTCCCTAATCCATCCATATTGCATCAGAGTGGGATTAACAACCCTGGAAGAGTCCACTGCCAAAAGAGTAGTTGCTTTCCTTGAGTTTCCAAAGCTTTTGGATTTTCTGGATCAAGTAACCCACTTTTTAAAACCTGAGGTCTGGCCGGGCGCGGTGGCTCAAGCCTGTAATCCCAGCACTTTGGGAGGCCGAGACGGGCGGATCACAAGGTCAGGAGATCGAGACCATCCTGGCTGACACGGTGAAACCCCGTCTCTACTAAAAAATACAAAAAACTAGCCGGGCAAGGTGGCGGGCGCCTGTAGTCCCAGCTACTCGGGAGGCTGAGGCAGGAGAATGGCGCAAACCCGGGAGGCGGAGCTTGCAGTGAGCCGAGATCTGGCCACTGCACTCCAGCCTGGGTGGCAGAGCGAGACTCCGTCTCAAAAAAAAAAAAAAAAACCTGAGGTCAGGAGTTCGAGACCAACCTGTAACAGGGTGAAACCCCATCTCTATTAAAAATAGAAAAAATTAGCCAGGCATGGTGGCGGGCATCTATAGTCCCAGCTACTCAGCAGGCTGAGGTAGGAGAATTGCTTGAACCCAGGAGACAGGCTGCAATGAGCCGAGATCACACCACTGCACTCCAGCCTGGGTGGCAGAGCAAGACTCCATTTCAACAAAAAAAAGAAAAAAGAAAAAGAAGGTTAATCCTTCCAAATATGGAGGTGGGATGAATAGGGCTTGTTTGATGTTGAAGTGGGTAAGGAGGGAGTGGCCTTGGGACACTTGTATTCCAAACTCCCCTGGAGGTTTCCAGTAGCACTACTGTTCTTAAAAGGGTTTTATTTTTAACTTCATCTGCTTGGTTAACATCCAGTCCAATTGAGGTGATCTCAGAGGTGCATCAGGACACCAAGCACTGGGGAGGCCACCTTGCCCAGATGGTTGAAAAGAAAATTGGTCTGGACAGCCTGTTGTCTTTTGTCTTCTTGTAATGTCGTTTGTTTGTTTTAAAGGACTAATGTTTGTTACAGTGTTAAATAAAGGTGTAACATAACTAAGTGTGTAGAATAAAAGTGCAATAACAAAAGAAAATGACTTTCACACACACTTCAGTCTTTATCCTGTCTCCTTTCTTGTGCTACCTGGCTCTTTCCATAATACTGTTACAGCAGGACTGTGGTAATTGTGTGCATTTTGAAGAGACGCGACTTGGGGTTAATCTTCATTCATGTAATTTTGAAGGGTTGGGTTTGGTTTTATAGAGTATTCTATATACTTGTTGGGTTACACAAATACCAGATGTGCTGTATAATAAAGATCACATTAACGTTTTAGGTTTCTATCTGTTTGGTTTTGGTTTTCCCTTACCTCACTACCCATAGTAACAGGACGCTCCCTAATCCATTCCATTTCCACTGGTGACCTGCAGTCGGATGTCTTTCAGTTTGCCTTAGGAGAGATGGATGGAACATGTTCCTCTCCCATCAGGGGCCCTCCCCAGCCACCATGGCTCTTGGCCTCTGGGTACTTTACATCACCACTACTGGAGAGTGGGGCAAGGGAATGGGAAATAGGATAGCGGAGAAAAGGGGTGAGATGATAGCAATGGATCTTCCAGAGCCTATCCTGGGTGACATGCTTTTTTCCAGCTTTTAAGCACAAACCTGCAG